TGTCATCATTTTTTGCCACGTTGTATTAATGTGTTTTGATGTGTCATCGTTCTTCCGTCACATAACGTGCCAAGTAAGCAGATTTTTAACGGAGGAACCAAATCGGGGTAAAAATGGTAAACAGTAGGGACCAAATCAGGAATTTTTTGAGTTGAGGGACTAAGTCAGGGGTCCGTATAATAGTTGAGGGACCAAAATGGGGGTTTAACCTTTCTAATATTGTTTCATTAGTATCGAAATATAGAAATGGCAAGATTTATAGAAATGGCTATAAATCTTGCATGGATACATAATGATTCAAGGCTTGTGGTTTGGCAAACATCAGTAGATTTGAATGCTGCTTTTGTTTTCATATTAAGAAAAATCTTGTAAATCCTTTAACTTTATCACATGTACCTTTAATGTAGTTTGAGCATGATGATCTAGCGAAGGGATGTCATTCCTTAAGGGTGCGATTGGAGCACCGGATGAAGTGTAGGATTGGATAAAAAATTTAATCTCACCCTCCTAATCCCATGTTTGGAGAGTTTTTGGGATGAGATGACCATTATCCAACATTTTATCCAATCTATTGCTTGCTAAATAAATTTAATCCCATCAAACCTATGAAAAAAGAGGGGATTGGATTGATCCCCAAGCCCTGACCTAATGCTTGAGACCCTTGTTCAAGTGAAGATTGCTAGTGGATTGTGTATTCCCTTGTCTTGTTCAAAATAAAAAAAAAAAAAAAGAAGGAAAAAGATGAAGAAGGGATTGAATTAAATTTCCTAAATCCACCCTTCTTCTCCTTTATTTCTCCCTTGTCACAAATCACCAGCAACCCTTTCTTCATATTCTCCTCTCATCGTTGACATTCTCTTTCCTGGCTGATTTGCCTCTCACTGGCCGGTGACATTCTCTTTTTTGGCCGATCGCCCTCTCTCAACGGTGACTCTCTCCCCTACCTCTTCTCTCTCACCTATGATTTCTCTCTCCTCTTCTGGTTTGCTCCTACAAGTTCACTGGATGGGATTCACAGATCTTGTTGCAAGGAAGGCAAAATCATATCGGTTGCGACTACATTTGTTTTTTTTTTTTTTTTTTTGGCCAACAACTGGTTCAGATTCGATTGCATATTTGTTGAAAAAGATGAACCTC